TATATATATATATATATATATATATATATATATATATATAGAACAAATAACGAGGTAATTAGCTTGGCACTCTTGGACTGGAAAAATGAAACATGTCATTGAAGTTTTTGTCCAACATTTTAAAAAAAAGTGCATAGGAGCGTCTGTGAATACTAACGTGTTGTCGTTAGTCTTGCCATGTGTGTTGGTGTTTGGAAAATGATTTTATGTGGCTTTAAATAACAAGAAACTTGAAAGATAAAGTCCTGGTTGCCATGTCTTAGAATTGAGAGGGTTGCTTTCAGTGTGCTCACATCCCCCAGCGCTCACGTTTTATAGTCTGGGTCCGTATTTTTGTCATGATTTATGTTTCTTTCATACTTAAGGACCATTTGGTGGCTGCATGGTGATGCTGTTGTTTGTAACCTGGCAGCAAGACGGTCCGGGGTTCAAATCCCGGTCGAGGCTGTTTCTGCATGGAGTTTGCATGTTCTCCATGTGGGTGGGTGGGTTCTCACCGGGTACTCCATCTTCCTCCCTCAAATAAAAATATCATGACTGTGATGATGATTGGTCTCTCTAACTTGCTCCTAGGCATGAGTTTGTTTGTCTTGTGTGTCGCTGCGTCGCTCTTTCCAGCTTGTACCCCGCCTCTTTGCCCAATGGCTGCTGGAGATACCCACCCTCCATCTTCAGATATAGACAATAAATGGATGAATGGAAGGAAAGGTCAATTGACCATCTTGGGGTAAACGTTCAGTGCTGTATGAGTGCCCCCAAGTGGTCAGCAATGATTTGCTCAATTACCCAGAAATCATTGCCTAAAGAATACAGCCTTAAAAAAAAAACAGACAGGATTTGCTCCCGTGCTTTTGTCTATTGTCGTCACCGTCTCAGAGAATAACTTCGTAGCTTTTAACTGGCAAGCTTTTTGCTTCTACAAGTCAGTGTTCAACTTTGATAGTAGGCAGTTGGTTCTTTATGTCTGATTTCCTGTCTTGTATTGAGAAAGAATTGCTATGATTCAAGGAGTGACCATCAGAATGATGATGTGTGTGTTTGTGTGACAAACAGGCTTCAGACTACACTCCAGGAACATGGAGGAGAACAGACGTCCATCTGGAAAATCCAGAGTACCACACCAGATGGTACTTTAAGTACTTCTTGGGAAAAGGTCAGTGGCGCTCCATCGGGGCTCCGTTTAGAAATAAATAAAAAAAAAAAAAACACGCTTACTCAAAGAGGCAGTTTTAAAAAGCGACTGAGAAGAGAAACACATGGGGTGAGACCGAGACAAAGCCGGTGAGACAGCAGAAACGAATCATCCCTCGAACGTCTTCTCTGGTGCACAAAATGCTTCATAACGTATAGATTCAGTCTCGTCTCTGCGCTGCATCAATCTTCATCTGTATAACTAAAGTCAAACTACATTCCAGATGAACTAAACTCTAATCTCACACGCCGCCTATGGAGAAAACCCGTGGAGAAAGTGCAGCGCAGTCTCAGTAGTCAGACAAAATAATATCACCTTCCACGCATCAAGCTTGCAAAAGCAGAGAAAGAAAAAAAAAACATTTAAATTAGTCGCCTATTCCTTCACCTCTCTGACTCTCGTCATTTCAACACCCTCATTAACATGAAGAACCTGCCCGTTCTCCGACTCACAGTGTAGGTGGCGACGCAAGTGGCACAACAGAAGATAAAAGTCTGCGCTCCTTAACCACGATTTAAACCAGAAAGAGCACAGCCGTCTGAAAGGTTGAGATAAACTACACAACCTGGGGTGGATACAGACGCTTCTGAGGGAAAGTTAGTTATGTAAAAAAAAAAATACTACGAAGAAAGAAAATCCATTTTGTCCTCCACTCAGGATCTAATGAGGCTGCGGAATAGGGAGTTTCAAAACGAGCCGCGTCTGAAGAAAGTTGGCTCGACCTGTTTGGACCACAGCTGAGCCATCTGTGTCTCACAGCCTGAGCGTAGCTCACTGCGCCCGGCAACACATGACGAACTAGAGGCCACTTCCTGTGTGATGGAGCACCTGCATTTACAGAGTGGCATGAATTCACATTTTATTGATGATCTGGTGAAAAATAAAAAATCTTCTGTTTTCTGGGATTAAAAAGCGTAAAATAAAGACTTTTCCAAACCAAACCAAAAGAAAACAGTGCACACAAAATATGCCAATGAACGAATTGGAGTCTGACCAGATTCAGAGATTTGCGTGGCGTTGTTTCTAAAGATGTGACATTATCAACTGCAGAGAAGGAGGCATGAATAGTCTGACTCAAAGGTTTAACAACCCGGGTTAAGACTTCATGAAATATTATATATGACAAGGTAAAAATATCATAATAGATAGACAAAACAGCAAAGACGAGACAGGAAGAACTGGGTGTATGCTTGTATTGGCGACATTATAATAGCTTTTGTTTTTGCGTGTACAATGTCTCACAAAACTATTAACACAATTTGAGCATTTTTCCTTTTAGTATTTTATGTGATAGAGCAACACAAAAATAATCCATCAATGTGAAGTGGAAGGAGGAGGATACATGGTTTTCAAAGTGTTTTTTTTTTCTTCCTTTTATTTCCACAGGCATGCATTTGCATTCAGGTCACTTCATTCTGACACCCATAAATAAAATGTAGTGGAATCATTTACCTTGAGAAGTCGCACAACTAAAGATAGTCTGCCTGTGTGTAACTTAGTGTGAGCTGTACTGTGATTTGGTTTGTTAAGAGAGCAGAAAACTAATACTGTAACGCACCCAGATACAAATTCATGCCACGTGTCTCAAATTTTGGACTCTTCCTCTCTGAAAAATACCTTAAAGTTTGCAGCTGCAACATATAAGAAATGTGACAACTTCTAAAAGCAACAAGTGCGTAACTGGCATCCATCCGTCGCCTTTTTCTCCCTTCAGTCCACCAGAACTACGTGGGCACAGATGCCGAGAAAAACCCTTTCTACCTGTCGGTCGTCCTCTCGGACCAGAACAACCAGCGGGTCCCTCAGTACCGAGCCATTCTCTGGAGGAAAACGGTGAGCTGACCCGATGATTTACAAAAATGGACAGAGTTAAACTCCTCTTTTTTTTAAGTAATAGCATTCCAGCAAACAAAATATTGTGTAAATATTTTCTTCTTGCATGCATTGTTGAAGGAACATAAAGATGCTCAGACTGCTATGTTTTGGGACCTTGCTGTTCCACCTGTGAGTCCTAGCGTGTGTGTGTGTAGGATGCGAGTTCCTCGGTGTGTGTTTGCTGTTTAGTGATTCAGTTACATGGCCAGGACAGCAGGGATCTAATTTTGCTCTGCGGCCTCGTCTGGAACCTGATTAGGGCGCCGCACCTCCGCTGCAGGAGCGCATTGATTTGTCCCTTTTCTGACGAGACTTTAACTCGTACAGGATGTTTGTGTTGCCGTCGTCCTGCAACAGAGCAACTCTGCAGTTATTCTGTGTTTAATTGGAGAAAGCCCGGGTGGTTTCGGTGACCTATTGGGTAGAGTCGTGGAGAGCGTCTTATTTGCACGGAAAATCTACAAGGAGCAGCAGGAAAGCGTGTTTTTAAAACATGGACACTTTCCAAACCGGAAGGTGAAGGACACTGAGGTGGCTAATGTGGGTTTGTAATCCCGGATGTTTGTCACTCTTATCCACTCAGGGAACTTTGAAGATCAGCCTCCCTTACAGTCCGACTAAAACACTATCAGTCAAGTCCATCTTAAGGTGAGACAAACATAACTTTTATTTTACTTTTTTTCAAGATCTGGTTCTGCGTGCATTGCTTCTGAGACATCAGACCTCAGCCTTGCATTATAAAACGTTCCCAGAGTTTTTCTTTTTATTTACGTTGGACTTTATGCAGCAGGTCCATAATACAGGATACAGCATTTGCAGGTTAGGGTGATATGTTCAACTTTTCAACCGTTTTGTAGACTGTGAATCCACATGCTGTGAATCAAATTCGTTCTCTTGTAGGAAAACGAATGTACTGATCTTAAGTCATTTGTATGAGTAATATTTTCTGATTAATTCATATTGAATCCTATTTCGTTGTGGTTATGATCTGCATGTGAACCAGTTGAGTTCCACTGGCAAACAGTGTTTAGTTACATATAGAAAAAGGTTCATGATGGCAGCATAAATAAAGCGTCAAAATTTACTTTAAATCATTAAACAAAATTGTAAAGAACGATGAAGCAAACCTCTTGAATGAGCTTTGCTTTGTAAGCCTCTTAAGGATAAAGTTATTGCTAATGCGTTTCCTCTCTTTTCCACAACACTTTTTCCTTCCACTCAACTTTCCATTAAGATTCCTTGACACAGCACTCTACAAAGCCACATTAATCCCCATAATAATTTGTGACGTAACGTCCTGCTGTCTTTGTCTGTCAATCCACTGGATCGTGTAAAGAAATGAACAGAAACAAATATTAGAAATATATCACATTTGTCTGTTATGAATCTGCTTCATTTGATTTATATGTCAACCTTTTTAATTTAAAAGTTACTTAAATAAATAACATTTTTGATCATATTCTTCTTATTTTTTCTGCCACTGAAATAAACGTGAAACTAAAGGATTCAGAATCTAAACTTTTTACTCTAGGATAACTATTAAATTGCGTAAAATGGGCCAGATGTGCCCTTGAACATTATTGCGATTCAGTTTCAAAAACGACATTTCACAAGAATGGCCCATATATTTCCTTCAATAGGAGTTTTGGCTATTTGAACAGAAGACCTTGTGTCTCAGGTAGCAAACGCCAGACTAGAAACAGGATATAAGAAGCTGCATGACAGAGGAGATTGGAAATGATGAATTCCTCAGGCTGGCAAGGATCACCGGTGAAACTGAAACAAGTTCAAATTGTTCAAATTAAGATGAGAAATCCCCCATATCAGTTCTCATTTTTCAGTATGACTTTCTGAGCCCTTTGCCTTCAGTCGTTCCTGAATCCCCTGCTTTTTGTTCTCTCGTTGTTTTTCCCCCCACCACCCCTCTCCTGCTCTTCTTCCAATATTTCATTTCCTCCTCATCTTTCCTCGATTACAGTGCAATGAACATGGACAGGTTTGAGAAAGGCCCCAGGGAGATCCTCAACCCAGAGATTCAGAAGGTGAGAGTGACACAGGAGCGGCAGCCGGCTCCAAAACCGAGCGGCGGTTCATTTCACGCCACGCCTGATCAGCAACACCTAAACTCTATAATGTCCTCAGGCTGTGTCATCTATCACCGCTGTGCTGGTTAGTATGAATGACACTTTTTATTCCCTCTCTCCTCAGGACCTGCTGGTGTTGGAGGAACAGGAGGTATGGCAGGATGTAGCACTGTTTGCTCGTTCGTACTGTTATTTACCAAACATGTCCATATTAGTTGTTGTTTTTTTTCTGTGCTATAATGTCCCTTTTTTTTTGTCATAGGGTTCAGTCAATTTTAAATTTGGTGTGCTGTTTGCCAGAGACGGACAGCTCACAGACGACGAGATGTTTAGCAACGGTAAAACGCTTACTTTATTGGCGCAATTTATGTTTGTAATTTGTTAATTTGATGAAATGTGACAATTTAACATTGGGTTTTGTGTATTTGTTGTGATGCTTTCTTTATTTGAGTGGTAACGGCAGGAATGACGTTTCATCCATAAGTATTGGATTGAAACTGTATCTGAACACTTTAGGTTAGAAAAACCATGAAAAATAAAATCTCATTCATATTGGCTTTAAAAAATCATTTGATATCTTTTTATTAAAAAGGTTAAAGAGGCTTGAGAGCCATTTTCTACTTTTAGCCTTTTTAATTGTAGCTCTGCTTAGTGTAGCTTTAGCCTGTGACATATTAGATTAGCTTTGCTATAAAAGAAATGAACTAATTCTTTAAACCTTGTGCCCATAATGCTTCTGTGCCTTACCAAAAACATTCCAGCCATTTTAAAATGTTTCCTTTTTTTGTCACACAGCTGAATTGCAATTGAGTTTCATTTAGGAGATTCGGATTACCCGGGGCTCAATCCGCACACTGTGTTATGGAGAACATCAGAATGAACGAAAACCTTTGCGAACGTGACACAGCGCACACGTTGACGGGCTTTTATGTTCGTTTCAGAGACGGGGAGCGAGAACTTCGACAAGTTCCTCAATTTGCTGGGTGATACGGTCACGCTGCAGGGATGGGCAGGCTATCGAGGAGGTCTCGACACCAAGAGTAAGAGAAGACCGTCGGCGTCGGCTCACGAGAACAGAGACGCGAAAGCACGGTTTTGTCTGTTTCGTTTCGATGTGGTTCGATTTCCGTTTCGTCTCCCCAGACGACACTACAGGACTTCAGTCCATCTACACGGTGTATCAAGGCCACGAGCTCATGTTCCACGTCTCCACCATGTTGCCCTACTCTAAGGAGAACAAGCAGCAGGTCTGTGTAAAGGAGAGAACTTTGAATGTGTTTCATACCTTTGTTATTTCAGTAAAGAAAATAAAACTGCTCTGAGAGGAACCCAGGAAAAGACAAGCAGCTGTAGACGAATAATTAGAGGCAAAAAAATAAATAAATAAAAAATACATTGTTGCTCTTTTATGTAATGCCAATGTATCTGATGTAAAAGAGCAGCTGGCTCGCAGATCTGACACATAATTGGATTTTGCTTAAAGGACAGACACTCTGGGGGTCAATAATAGGGAACAGTCTGTGCTCATCCTGGGGTTTGCGTGACCCCAGAGAGGAGCTGCGGATCAAACGCATCCCACCAGGATGTTTCACCTCAGCCTGTGGACTGGTGTGTTTCTTTCTCTATGCCGTCTGCCTGGACATTATTTTATTATTGTGAATTAGTCGTGGTGTTTATACTGGGTTATGATGCAAGACTAGAGGCTCGGAGGGGGAAGGAATCCTGCTAGATTAAACAAAAAAAAAAAAAGGGATCCTAGGTTTACAAGTTAGATATTAAGATGTATGTGGTACACCTGAAAATAATATATATTTTGAAGTTAGTTCTATCTTTGTTTAGGCTGCCGTCTCTTGTCTTTGTGTGTCTGAAAGGTGGAGAGGAAGAGGCACATCGGAAACGACATCGTCACCATCGTATTTCAGGAAGGGGACGACGCGTCGTCGTCCTTCAAACCATCTATGATCCGATCACACTTCACCCGTATCCTTCACATGGACAACGGATGTCAGACAAATTAAGCGGTCGGCTTAATTTGAGAAAAGCAGAACACTGGAACGATCCGCTAAAGCAATGTGCTTCCGCCATCATTTAGCTTTCCGATACATCTTAATTGCAGATATTTTTGCTTTAGTCAGGTATAATAGCCAGAATGACAGTTACAGGTGAGTTGCTTCGCTTCTTACGGCGTAATGGTTGTTTTACGCAGAGCTCCATTTGTTTCGTTTGCTTCTTTTTTTAAATGGGTCTTTGGAATATTTCGCAAAGCCTTCTCTTCCCCGCAGGTTGAAGATTTTCTCGGAGGAGAGCGTCCCACTGTTTGGACCCCCTCTCCCGTCTCCGCCTGTATTTACTGACCACCACGAATTCAGGGACTTTTTATTAGTCAAATGTATGAAAACGACAAAGCGCAGACACACAGGAGCTCATGCCGACGTGTTTCTAATACTCTGATCTCCCCTCTTCTCGCTCAGTAATCAATGGAGAGAAAGCCACACTGGAGACGCCAACCTTTGCCCAGAAACGCCAGCGGACCCTCGACATGCTGATCCGCTCGCTCTACCAAGACCTCATGCCTGACCTGCACAAGGTAACGAAGCATTTCTGACCATAACTCCATAGGTGACCATAGGTGTCGGTTTTGGTTCTCCAAAGTGTTTCTTTTTGTGCCCCAGTCGCTGCTGTCACCAGCAGCGACTGTAGCCACCGCTCAGCTGCGTTCTGCTACATCTCACTGCAGCCCCCAGTCTGCCTCCGCACACTGCACCACACCGACTGGGTACCACTGCAATGCTGACTTTCTCAGGAGGGCTCCCTCTCCTCGTATCACTTTTGTTCTTATTTCTTTCCACTCCTTTCCCTTCACCGCTGCCCCTAACACGACTCGGTTCAACTAGCCGCGCTTTCACAACACCCTCCTCCCGCCTGAGGGTTTGCCTCTAAGACGCCTTTTCTCCTTTCTCTTTCCCTGTGTGTGCCACACTTTATGTGTTCCACGTTTAGGTTCCCTTTTCTCCCCAGAACATGTTGAACCGGAGGTCGTTCAGCGACGTGCTGCCTGAGTCTCCGAAGTCGGCGCGTAAGAAGGAGGAGGCCCGGCAGGCCGAGTTTGTCAGGATAGGGCAGGTGAGATTACAGACATAGCAACACGATGTGCAAGGGTCTTGGAGAAGGCAACGGAAAAAAAAAACAACAACACTGAAGTGTGCACACCTGCTGCACAACACACTCGTTACGATTGCGCTCTAAAAAGGTAAACATTTTGATGCCAGCATTGGGTCATCCCTCCAAATCACAGAACTCATTTCAATTGCAATAACACAGGGAACAGTTCATGGTGTTATAAGAAAGTGGAAGTGATTGTAACAAAACAGCACAGCTGATAGGAAATAAAATCAAATGAAATTCAAATAACAGAAAAGGAAGAGGGTAGGGTGTTCCCCCCACCCCCTTTCATTTCCAACAATATTGTACATTTGTTCAATCTGCTGCATCTGAATCTTTTAAGATCACCAGATAAATTTATATTTACGATATGGAGCTGTAACATTTGACGTACATTAAAAAAAAAAAAGAAGAAGAAGTTATTTAGTCGGATTACTTATGTTTTTTCTGGAATGTTTTTCTTTAAAATGGAAAAAAAAAAAAACCCCAGAAAGCAAAACAAAGAAAATGTCAAAAATTATTTTGGTTGCTTTTATATTTTCCTTAATATTCTCTGAACTTTGTGGTTGTTTTGTAACAATGTCCTAGGAATATACATCTGAAAAAAAAAAACAGGAGGCAGGTGTTGTGATTAGTAAATAAAACCAGGTGTGAGGGAGCAGAGAGAGACAAACTAAATACACAACCTAAAAAGCATCAAAATAGTTGCCTTATTTAATTTGGAAAACACTTTTCTTTTTTTTTTTTTAGGTGTTTCTGCTTTGAAACCAGCTGTTATGATAAATCGAATCCAGACGGTTGTTGTTGCTGTTGTTGAGCCAGATGAGTGAACCACAGTCTAAAGAAAAGATAGATAAGGGTTGAATAGGACCCTTAAGGGTACCCTTAAGATAAGGGGTAGGAGTTTATAAGTTCTCACTTCTTCCTACCCCATTTTGAGCATGATATGTTAACTGAAACAAAAAATCTGTATTTTCTCTTCTTTTTTATGCACTTCTTGTTACTGGGCACTATTTTATTTTTATATTTGTATTTGTATCATGTT